TCCTACCAACTACAGGATGCCCCCCTCTAGACTGGAAATACAACAATATTTGTAAGCTAGGATAAGCAATGTAAACAATAAGATATATCATATATGATGAGATATATATGCAAGGATATATAAACTAACACAAGGGTAAACAATATAAACTAGATAGTGGATCATAAAAAGGATGAGTAATGCACAATTGGCGATATAAGAAAAAAGAATAAACGCCAAAGCACATTCAAACACACAATATGATCACGGAGTTCGGACCTTCCGTCCTACGTCTCCGCTCCCCACTCCCGGGGAGAAATCCACTATCACAACCGGGTTTTCTACGTTCACCCGAATAACGTTTACACCTCACAATTTCTCTCACGGAGTTCATTCCCCACGACCTACGTCTCCGCTCCTCACCTCGAGGAGATCTCCACTCACACTCTCACAATGTAGCTACACTCCACCCTCACAATACGGTTTTCTAGCTAACCGAAAACTCTACAACACTCACAATGTAACAACAAATGATTTGCTCTCTAATACAGGTGAGAACTCAATTAAGCACAACTCAAAGTTACAATCTCTCACCACCCAACTATACTATGTATGAAAGATACAATAAGCTCAAAGTGGGTGTGTGTAACAATGAGTGAAATCAAAATCAAACTAAACTCAAATATAAAATCTAGCTTAAGAACAATGATAATCAAACAAGTATATAAATGTAAAGCTAGAGTTTGAGTTTAGAAAACTTCTCTAGATCAAGATGGAGAGATGGAGATTTGAGGTCCAAACAATAAGATAATCTGCTCCACTTGTGAAAGCTAAAAACTGCTTTAAACCAAACCCTTAAACAAGCTTAAACTCTTTTTAAAACCCTTGTTAAAAACTTCTTGGCTTACATAAAAAGAGATCAGCAATTGGGTATTTATACCCACTCAAGATCTCAACAAAAACCCCAAACAAAATGAGAAAATAGTCCCCAGAAGACAGCTCAGAAAAATAGCCGTTAGTGTCTAACGGATCTATTGTCGGTCGACCGGAAATTTCGTCCGTCGACCGATGAGAGCAAAAACACGAAGAAAACAAACTGGACCATCGTCGGTCGACCGGTGCGGTCGACCGATGGAGCTTTCGGTCGACCGGACCGGTCGACCGACAGACTCTCTGTCGCCCAGTGAGCACGAGAACACAGATCCGGTCGACCGGTGCGGTCGACCGCATTCTGATACAAACAAAAACTGTTTTGCTGATTTTAAAACTCTGTTTAAAAATATCAAATAAATTCCAAAAAATATAAAACTTTGGGGAATGATTGTAGACATGATAATAAACATGCTACAATGACTGGTTATCAAAAAGGACTTACCAAATGAAAAATATCATCATTTTGCAAAATAGTCCAAAACACGAAAATATGAGATACTTGAATTTTGATGTTTTGACTTAAACCAACTTTTGAAACTTTGTAAAATATTTTTATAGACTTAGTAAAACATGTATAAACTGATATTGAAGTCTATAAACTAATAAGACAATATTTTTACAAAATTACATATTCTATGCAATAAGTACTAAAATACAATAGAGTATGTAATATCATAAAAACCAAAACACATGTATGTATATATAACTATATATATGCATAGAAACCAAAACTTGTGTATATATATATAACTATATATATATGAAGAAACTAATGAAATGTGTGTGTATATTATATTGAGCTTAGAGTATCTAACACACATAATATAACACTTAAACTAAAGTTACCCAAGCTTGATCTTGATCTTCATTGAGCTCAACTTGGTACACTTGCGGATGAAGCTTAAACTTGATCTTTAACTTGAATTGTATAGGCTTCAACCCGACATTCCGCCAACCTCCTTTGGATATCATCGTTGAAGCGCAATCCATCCAACCTCCAACTACGTTGTTTGTCTACAATACATAGGAATACACAAACACTAGACAAACAACATTAGTAGTAAATTGTTTGTAAATCATCATCAAAATAAGAAGGCCAACAAGGAACTCAATAACAACAATGCTTTATCCTCATCTTCAACAATGACACCTACGTTCGCCAAATCTGCAAGTAGCTTCGTGTAGTGGTTCATGTGATCACTAATGGATGTCCCCTTCTTCAATTGGAAGCGATAAAGCCTCCTCTTCAAATGCAAACGATTTTCGACGCTCTTTGTCAAATATTTGCCCTCTAGGACCTCCCAAATCTTCTTTGCCGAAGTTTCATTCATCACATCATATTTAAGGTCTTGGGTAAGGCAAGACCTAATCACACCACACGCCGTTCTATTCATTTTATTCCAAACCTTTTCATCCATGTTGTCCGGTTTCCCGTCCAACTCCAATGTATCTTCCAAATTTTGCGCATTTAGCGCATCCATGACTTCACATCTCCAAAGTCCAAAATTATTTGTGCCGTTGAACTTTTCCACATCTATTTCCATAGAATGTATATTCAAACTTTGGACGGTCCTCACACTAGAAGAACCCTCCCCATGTTTATCCTTTCCGGCCATAATCTCAAAGCACCCAATAAACAATTGCGGAACAAACAAGAAAATAGATCCAACTTGAAAAAGATAGAAACTTTACCACAAAGATCCCACCTTTATCACCAATCGAAGTTCTAGAAGAACTTCCCAACTAATCTACTCCTCCAAAAAAAGCCCAAGCGTTTCCCGGGGCTCTGACACCACTTGTTGTGCCTCGAGAATCCAAACCAATCGCCAAGAAAAGATAAACCAACACACCAAAACAATAGCACAAACAATCAAACACTAGTTTTACGTGGTTCGGCGAGATGCCTACGTCCACGGGGCAAGGAGGGGGGAGTTTTCACTATTAGAAATCAAGAGGAACAAACTAGGGTTACAATCACTCACCAAAAACCCACAACAACTCACTCTTGATTTCTCCAAATGCTCCTAGAATAGAAGCCCAAAGAAAACCCTCTCAAATAACTCAAAACTCCTACCTTTAAACCCTAGAAAACACCCATTGGGTATTTATACCAAAGCCAAATGAAACGGGTCTGAAAACAGAACCCAGACCCGAACCAGAGTCGCGGTCGACCGCAGCGCCATGTGTGGTCGACCGCGAAAAGTCCAGAGGCTCACCATCGGCTCTGGACAAATGCCGGTCGACCGCCGCTCCATGTCCGGTCGACCGCCCAACTTCCAGAGCCACAAATACATCTGCGTGCACATTGCGGTCGACCGCAGCTCCACCTCCGGTCGACCGCCAGACGCCCAAAAGCACACTACAACAAATTACACTTTTCCCGACGCTTATTCCCGATGCATGGTTAAATACGTCGCCAAAAAGTATGTTTTTCCCGACGATTTTAGTTAGCGTCGGCAAAACATATATTTTCCCCCACGTTTATAATTAGCGTCGCTAAAAGTGCATATTATTTGCGACGTTTTAACTTAGCGTCGGTAAAAGTGTATAGATTTCCCGACGTTTTTTTATTTTCGTCGGCAAAAGTATAGCTTTTAGCGACGCACAAATATTCATCGCAAAAAGTATACATTTGGCGACGCACGTTAGCGTCGGCAAAAGTGTAGCTTTTAGCGACGAACAGTTTTGCGTCACTAAAAATAACACTTTTGCCAACGTTATATTGCGTCGACAAAAGTGTTACTTTTAGCGACGCGTAAAACTTTTCGTCGCAAAAAAGTAACTTTTGCCGACGCTTTACTATTCAAGTGCATCGCCAAAAAAGCACCCTCGTTTTTTCATTTCCCCGCCTACTTTTAATTTCCTCCCCCTCTTTTTTTTTCTTTTTTTCCTCTCCGTCAAAAAAGCCCCCTCATTTTTTTTCATTTTCCTCACCACCAAAATCCCTCGCCACCCCCTCCTTTGCCTCCTCTCCACCGCCTTTGGCGGCACCGCCGCCGTCGAATCCCGAGACCAGAAGCTCAACCGGATCGCCGACGATCTCCTCGCCCTCACAAAGGCCGAGCGCGAAGACTACTCGACCCTCTTCACATCTCGACGTACTGAAACTAGGGCTCGAGCTTCATCCGAGGAATTACCCGATGTTTTGCTCACGATTTTTGCTTTAATCTTTGCTTCCCCCAACTTTTCGATCGGCTCGGTGGTAATTTTCTTAATTTTTCTTAATTTCCTTCAACTTTATTTGGAAATGAGTTTCTTTTTTTTGGTTGGGAATTGATTAAAATCTTGCTGAAGAATGGCTGGTGGATCGCAAGAAGATACCTCACGATTGGAGGAAGCGACTGAGTGCCGTGCGATCGAAGATCGCTCCTGCCTTCTCTTCGCTGCCCAAAGATATTGATCCCCTTCTCCAAACCCTAGATCCTGAAGGTATAACGAATTGCTTCTGTTGGCTTCACTTGATGTTTTGACTTAAACCCTAATTTTTACTCATATTGGTGCGTCTAGTTCATTCTTTGATGTGAACTTCATAGGAATTGGTAGTACGAGTGCATTTGGTTTCTCTGCAGTTTTGCTTCTAGAGCTTTTTTTAGACCAATTAACTTTTTAGAGAAAGAAAGAAGTGAAAGGAGTTTGGTAGTTTAGAAGATTTGATTTGGGAGTGTGCGGGAGATGGAGCGAGTCCATTGGATTAATAATTTTGGGGGCGTAATATGGGGACCAATTTGATGATGTAGTATATGAAAGAATAATAACAATTCTGCAATGGAATATATCAAATAGCGTATATGGTGTAACCTAGTCAATTTAATTGAGTGATTAAGAGGGATACTTGCGGGATACTACAGTATAGTATTGAAATGAAGTTTCCAATATGCTTAATCTAGTTGCATTTCATTAAAAAGTAGACATTTTTTTAGAAAAATTAACTGAATATAACTATGAAATATTTGTTAAAAAAAGATAGCTGAGTAATACTACAGTATAATAATGTTAATATGAAATATTTGATTTATAATTATGGATCATAAATATGTGACCTTATTGTTCAGTTCACTGTTTCATCTGTTTGGCTTAAAAGGCCAACGATGTTTTTGCCGATTGCAGCTATATTTCAATTGTAGGCCATGTAACCAAACTTGCGTAGAACAATTAATGCATGGTTGGTGTAATTTAAATTTAAGTATGACCATGGTTTCTTATTCTATGCTGATGAATTGAAGGCAGAACTTATCTTTAACAACAGCTCTGAGGCATATGTACAAGGACCTAAACCTGGATGCTAAGGTTCCATTCGAAACGGTAGCTTATGGAGCTAAACGAATTGACTGCATTTAGTTTTATAGGATTTAGAAAAGGAAGCAAGTGAACAGATAACTTTAGGTTCATATACTTTAGAATGAACCATGCTTCAACATTATGTTTGTAGTCACTAATACGATAATAAAATAGTTGGATGAGCTGTAAGTTTTGATTATGTTTGCAACACTACTGGTTGGATTGAAACAGTTGGAGTCATATGCACGCATATTAGATTAGTACAGTAGGCATCTTGTTTACAGTAAAGGTCCGAAGTCTGCTAAAGAACCAAGCAGTAATGTGGCTGTCGAAGAATCTGCAGAACCCAGAGTGTAATATCCTTGATCTATTTAACAAATTTAGACCTTTTTCTTGTAAATTATCATACAATCTATTAAATGACACCGTCTTTTACACAGGGTGGTTCTAATGGACATCGGAAGTCCGACAATAACAGTAGAAGGATGTCACTAAAAGATGCTCTTATGTCAGACGAGGTAATTATGAAGTATATTTTAGGCACTCATCTACACAACAGAAGTTTAATTGCTGATGCATGCATCATATTTTTGGGTTATTTAAAGTAGTGCAGCATGCACTAATTCTCCATGGATCTTCCTCCATTTCTCTTCATTGTGCTTCTTTTTGGCCATTTCTTCTTATCCCCCACCTAGCAAAATCAAGCCCTCACAATAACTTCACGGACATCGAAGCTCTATTGGCCTTCTCTCTTCAAACTGGACTACTAACACCTCCTTCTGCAATTGTGTTGGAGTCACCTGCAGGCTGCAGCCAAATTAAGGCACGAGAGAGTTACTGCCCTTTACTTTTACAATATCACTCTCCAAGGAACAATTTCACCTGTAGTTGCAATTTCTTTCCATTGCAACTACACAACAGAAGTTTAATTGCTTGCTTTTGTCCGAGTTTTAGGCTTTTCTCATTGTTGTTCATGTTACTGTCATAAACATGAACCTCACGGGTCATGACAAGGGAGGGCATGCCTATTCATGTATTGAGTAGGAAGAAATATACTTATTGCATGTGGCACCTTGGATTGTGTTTTCCCTTTCCCCCCCTTAGGCGGGTCCTCAAAATGCATTGTGTGTGTGCATATCAACAGAGCAATTCCTACTCTGTTAAATTTCATTCTGAACATCGTAGATGTGGTTTTCATATTTCTAATGTTTATTCATCCTTTTTTTAATTTTATCTTTAGGCCATTCTGTACCTTCTTTTGTTATCTATGTGTGTTTGGGGTAAATTACTGAAAATCCCCCTAACGTTTAAAAATATCAATTTACCCTCCTTTCTTTTAGTATCAACAACATTAACTTGGATAAGGAAGCCTATTCAAGACATGCAAGACAGTAAGAGTTCCTTATTTAAACTTGGCTGGGAAACCTATTAATAGGATGATTTATATGTACAATTTTGTACCTGCAACTCTTTTTGCTTGAGATTCTGTGAGAGTTGCCGCAAAGCCAGAGAATCCATGTCTATAGCTGATGCACTTAAGAGCACCCTCCTTGCTGTATAACAAAAAATAATTATTATTATAGTACATTTCCTAGAAAATATATAGTAGTATTTGTTTGAGCTATATATATGTAGCTGATAATCTGACGTTGCATTTTCTCTAACAGGAAATAATCAAAGCACTGATGGAAAGGCTACCACACATGAAAGAGCTTATGGATATGTACTGTGGCCCTGATAGAGTGACTGCAAAGCAACAAATGCAGGAGTTGGACAGAGTCGCAAAAACTCTACCAGAGAATATACCTTCATATGTGAAGAGGTTCACTGATCGTGCCGTTTTTTCACTTCAAGTTTTCTTTTTTCAACTTAGTTTAGTTTCTTGTAAATCTTATAATGTGTCATTCTCTGAAATGGAAAACACTGAATATGGCAAACTGGAATATTTAAACAGGTCATTGAGTGTTGATTTGGAAATAAAAATGAATGTAATTATTTTGCAATGGGAGCAAATTCTTTTACCATAATATGCAACTTGTTTGGAGTATAATTTGATGTTTGGTTTCTTTGTTGATGTGAATGGGAGCAAATTTTTTATGGATGTTCAAGTTCACTGTAGGCTTGTAGTTGACAGAAAAGATATTACTTTTGGCGATGCAAATTAGTGTTGACAAAATTATACTTTTTACCGACGTATAATCTTGCTAAAAATTATATTTTTGCCGATGCTATCTTGTGTCGGCAAAAGTATAGCTTTTAGCGATGCTATCTTGCGTCGCCAAAAGTATAGCTTTTAGCGACGCTTCACTCTGCGTCGCTAAAAGCTGCACTTTTGCCGACGCTAACTTGCGTCGCCAAAAGTATAGTTTTTAGCGACGAATAGTTTTACGTCGCTAAAAGCTATACTTTTGCCAATGAATAGCTTTTGCCGACTCTGCATGCGTCGCCAAAAGTACACTTTTGCCAACGCAAAATATTATGCGTCGCTAAAAGATATACTTTTCCCGACGCATGACGCGTCGCCAAAAGTGTACTTTTGGCGACGTAGTGTATTTGCGTCGCCAAATATTTTCCTTGACGCACTTTTGGCGACGCGTTAGCGACACTGCATTTTGCGTCAGGAAAGATTTTTCCCGACGTTTTTTAAACTTTTCCCAACGTTTTTGTTTCGTCGGCAATGTTGTATTTTGTTGTAGTGGCACTCTTCGACTTTTTCCAGTGATTAACTCCATACACTCACCGAATCTACAATTCTCCACCTCGAATCTACAGCAACATCCCTCCAGAACACAATATTTGGCCAAGAAAAACCAAATGGAGCTAATGCGTGAGCGGTGATATTTCCATCTCGACTAACATAAGAAAAGAGACTATTGAAACGAGGAGGCCAAACTTCAAATTTCTTCGACCATGTGATCATTCGGCACTAAACGTACATATTATTATATTTAGGCTAAAAACAACTCACATGTGTAGCCATTAAAGAAACTTTGATATTTGGCCTGATGTCGTTTTATGCAAACATTGGCTTGCTCTCCTCCTTCGTCACCTTTATGCGCTTGCGCCATTTTCGTTTACACAAATAGACCCATACATAATGAATCATCTCAAAGGCAAAGAGCCCAAATTCATAGGAACATGCTTATCATAAAAATGATTAAATACCGTATCTAATACAGAATTCAATTGCCATATGAGGCAACGGCTAGTTGATAACCCACCGAAGCCGACCTAAAGTTTGACAAATGAGAGGGGGATTACGTGAGCCCTTTTTGGCTGAATCTGATCATGAGCATGGTGCATGTTTGGCCTCTTAGCCTGAATTTGGATCTTCCACTTCTCACTTTGACAATAAAACCAATACTTTTCCAAATCCAGGGTCTCAATCCTATTCAACTCTAGTGGTTTGAATGATGAATCCAAATTAATGTTGTGTTTGTCAATTCCAAAGAACTAAATCTAGTGAATACAATTATATTTAAAAGAGACTAGTTTTTAGCTTGTCAAAACTAGGGCGACTTTGAACTTTTTTTTGACCAACCGCTACACGTACGTATATACTCTAGCCTAGTTAAGCGAAAACTAATTCAAATCTGACCTTTTTTTTTTTGGGAATAACAGATCAAGTCACGACGGTATTCAAAAGGATAATCGTGTACGTATACATAGTATTTGGTCATAATCAACTCTCCTTGATCTCATTAAAAATAGCTTAATTAATTTGGTCCACTTTTCTTCCCTTGCTATCCACAAATTAAGTCGTAACAAACGCTTAAACAAAAACAAAAAACGACTTAAACAAGAGCTAGCAGTTCTATCAACTTCCAACCCTGAGATTCCCCAGTGGACTTCCTCTAAACTTTCCTACCGAAAGTATTTCCACATTTACTTTATTCTGGGCACTAGCTTAGCTCGTGGATTTACCGCAGTTTTTTCAATAACGGTCTTTGTTAATTCTATATTAAACCCTCGAACAACCTTCACATTTCTTAAATTAGACCGAAAATATTCATATTCCTCCGAAATGGGCTCAGATTTGAGGGTTTATTTAGAAGGACAAATTTTGAAAACCGTCCTATTTACAAAAAAAAAAATTTGTTAAAACCGATCTATTCTAAAAAAAATTGTCAAAACGGACCTAGTTTCAGCCGCCGGGCTGAAACTGGGTCGGTTTTGTGAAAAATAAGTCTGAAACTTCACGGGACTTGAGTCCCGTAAAGTTTAAACAGCCTATAATGATATTAATTTGGGTGACAAATCTTTCACGGGACTTAAATGAGCCATTTGGAAGTCTCATGAGTAAAAAACTTTACGGGACTTGAAGTATCGTGAAGTTACGCAACTTAATTAAATAGCTGCTAAACTTCACGGGACTTCAAGTCCCGTGAAGTTTTAGATTTTTATTTGTTAAAACCAACCTAGTTTCAGCTAGGCGGCTGAAACTAGGTTGGTTTTCACAACTTTTTTTAGAATAGGTCGGTTTTGACAATTTTTTTTGTAAATAAGATGGTTTTCAAAAAATATCCTATTTAAAACAACTCAATGGCGTTAGGGTTCTTATTTAAGGCAACTTAATGAGTTTGGATTAATTATTAAGGGCCTGATTTAGAAATATAAAGATTTGAGGGTCTAATATAACAACCAAAAAAAATAAAAAAAATCTTAAATAACTCCCCAGGAGCTCATCCCTCCGCTGACTACCTTTACCTCTCCATTTGACTTCCCCACTTCCATGGGCTTTTGCAATTCATATATTCCTCCCTCCACCATCAAACAAGCCTTAAACATGTTTGATTCCTCTCTCCCAACCTCCAACACCAACAAATACCAACAATATTAACAAGCAAATAGAGCCTAAATTAAACTTAGAGGAGGAAGTCATGAAGATTGATGCATTTGATGAAGTTGTGATAATGAAGAGGTCAGTGAAGGAGATTAATTTTGGGGGTTTGGAGGAGAAGAAGAAGGCTGCGATGGAGATCAAGAGATTGGCGAAGGGTGACGATAAGACGAGGAGGGCGCTGGCCGAGCTCGGGGTGATACCGCCATTGGTGGCGATGGCGGTCGAGTCGGAGGTTGATGCTTGTAAGATGTTGGCTGTTGAGGCCTTGGTTGAGTTGGCTAATGGTTCTTTCAGGTGTATTTTCTTATTCTGAAGATTTCCCCCCCTAAATGGAACTTAAATAAGGATATATAACATCTTATACACATTATTCTCACCAAAAAAAGAACATCTTATACACATTAATATTTGGATATGACCTCTTTCATTCGATGTTGATTTTGGATTATTTTTCTTCTTAGTTTTATGGTGATAGAGAGAGCAGTTTATAGAAATCATAATGTCCATTTCTCATCTAAGAAGGTTATTGTTCTTTCTAAAATAATCGGCATCATGTTTTCTGTTAATTATAATCATTATCACCTTTTATCCACGATATAAACCATAATGGTTTAATAAACAATAAACGATTTTGACTAAAGATCGAATTAAGTTTTTCGTTGCAGTACTGGAGAAGATTTCAACATGACTTGTATGTGATTTCTTTGCTTTAGCTGTAAATATTAAAAGAAGGGAAAATGTTATTCACAAGTAATTTTAGGTTGCATTGAAACTTGCTTCTGATTGGAATTGTTGGTATATAATAGTCATAATCTGATGCATAATGAAAATAGTACCAGAAGAAAGTTTTGGATGTTTATAATTAAGTTGAATATATTTATTTTAAGGAATGGAGATTCCAAATTCCTCTTATTCTCACTTGCCAATATATATGTTTAGTTATCTTGTGAGCTGAGAAGGGCTTATATCTTAAATAACCAGAAAACAAAAGTTAAAAGTTAGAGCCAACAGATCTCACATCTGAGATCTTTGAAGGCATGCAGATGACATTGCTTATATTTTAGCCCTTGGATAATTGAATTTGGTGGAATAAGGCCAAACTCGATCTGTCAGTTTATTAGGTATACCAATTGATGCCAAGAACATGCAATACATTTGACACACAATTGTCAAACTCATACGAGCCTTTGTCTTGCAAGTTGCGACTTTCTTTTACCCAAGCCTTGACTAAGCTTGTTAATTAGGTTCCTTTCCACTCTGGGAAAATTTTCAGTCTCTGTGTCCTTTAAACACCCATTTTGTCCAAATTAGATATTTTGCTCAGAGATATTTCTCTCTTCAGAGATCATATTAGTTTTAGAGTTGTGCACTTGTCCAACGTTTTAGAGTTGTGCCGGTATTTTTCCATGAGAAGACCTTTTGTGTGTGTGGTAGGGTTTTATGAGTAGGGCGGTTCGGGTCGGTTTGAAAACTTTTCAATCCGAACCGACCGAATATAATGTAATACTACCCATTCTGATCTCAAACTCTACCCGACCCGTCCTCAAAGAGTCAAAGATTCAAACCATAAACTCATTTTTTGAATCATTATGGGTTGAAAACAATATCATTATATCAGTGTTTAATGTTTCATAATCTCCTACTTTGTTGATATCTTTTTTTTAAACATAGTTTGTTGTTTGATAAGAAGTTTGATGAAGTTAGAACCGAACAAACCGAACCGAATCGCACCGAACCGACTTGTAACAGTTCGGTTCGGTTTTGAATTATAGGCGGTTCGGTTCGGTTGTTCAAATTTTGGTAAAAAAACGAACCGAACCGACCGTTGCACACCCCTAAAGACAGCAAGTTTTTTTTTCTTCCAGAATACAACTAAACTATTGGTCAATGTAGCATGTTTTATAGCAATTAACTCTTGTTATATTTTCCTAATCCACACATCACTCATTTTCAGGAACAAGAAGCTGATAGTGGAAGCAGGACTCCTAAAAAAATTGCCTCGACTAATTCACACCCAGTCCCTCATATCCAATCATCAATTCACTCACCTCCTATTCTCAATCTCTTCCCTAGCAAAAACTCCATTTCCTCTCTCATCATTCCACATCCTCCCTTTCCTCCTCAAAATCCTAGACTCAAAAGAAAACGATGACGAAACAAAGCTAACATGCCTCTCAACTCTACATAACCTATCAGCAAAGCTAGAAAACGTCAAGCACATCGCCACACCCAACACGGTACAAGCTCTCTTAACCTCGTCATCGAACAAAGCAGTATCAGAGCAAGCGTTAGCAACACTTAGTAATTTAATAGCCACCACAATTGGCAAAAAGGCAATTGGAGATGATCCCTTGGTCCCTAAAATCTTCATCGATGTATTGACATGGGATGATAAGCCAAAATGCCAAGAACTCTCAGTGTATTTGCTTATGACCATTGCGCATAAATGCATAATGGAAAGACAAAAGATGATAAGCCTAGGGATCGTGCCCGTGCTTCTTGAATTAGCTTTGTTAGGGAGCTCGCTAGCGCGAAAAAGAGCGCTTAAGTTGTTGGAGTGGCTCAAGCATGAGGAAGATAAGAGAATTGGAGTGCATTCAGGACCTCAAGCGCGAAGGCTTGAGATATTGAGCGGTTGTGTTGATGAAGGGGAAATAGAAGAGAACAAAAGAAATGTGAAGAAATTAGTGAAGCAAAGTCTCGATAAAAATATGGAATTGATTATGAGGAGAGCTAAGGGGGCTGAGGGTTGCTCCGGTGTTAAGGTTTTGGTGGCAACGTCTAGCTCGAAGAGCTTGCCTTATTGATTTTTTTTTCGTTTGTTTGTTTGTTTTTTTTTCTGTATATAATTGATGGGAATTGGGGTGAATTCAATGTATTAAAGCAAATCTTTGTAATGGTTTTAAGAGAGTATCTACCTGGAAAATGAGTTATTGCAAGTAAAGATCAAAATTAGTTGATTAGCGAACCTTTGTGAGTGAGGATTCAACGCGTGATATGAGATTCTTTACTTTAACCCTAAATTGCAAAGTAACACTAAAAAATATACCTACATTAGTTTCTCTAGTTCTTTTCTTCGATGCTTTTTTTTTCCCCTGAAAATTTCCTTATCCATACTATAGGAAAACAATTGTTTCTCCACAATTTCTGTGGAAGTTGAACCGGTCCACAAAATTCATGTTTCATTTTAGGAATATGCAGGCATATTGCAGGATATTAACAAAAAATTATAAGATAATTCGTATGTTGGAAGCTTTGTTCATGAAAAGGCAATTTTGCCTTTGTAAATAGTCTCACATTGGAAAATAAGATGAATAGTAAAGGATATATAATGGTTCTTTCCTTATTGGGCTTTGAATAGTGTTTTGGGTTTTGTGGGCTTTGCATTTCTACCACACACGCGCGCGCACGCCACACCCTGCACCGCACACGCACACCTTTTTGCTTCTCAAGCTTTTATTTTTGCACGTTTTACACGTTCTGTAACGGCTGCATGCGGGTAACAGAAGCAAAACTTGTGCGTAAACTTGTGCGCAACGGTCCCTTGGATTCAGCGGGGGTTACACCTCTCATCACCTATAAAAGCAGACTTGGAGCTCATTAAGAGGTACACCAACGAAGAGAAAAAACATCTTCTAAGCTCTCTTCTTTATCTACTCTCATACCTCCAAGAAATTTCGGCTACATATTTATATTTCTATTTGCTGGGTAACCGTTTTCATCTGAGCATAAGCTCTGTGACTCACGCCCGAGTGCAGAGGCCGGCTGATTTCGGGGGTTTTTACCGCTAGGGGAGAGGGAGAGGGGACAAATTGCGCCAGGACGATAGGCGGGTCCTTAATCTTCTAGGGCAGTGATATCACGACTGCTCCCGATCAGGCCTGAATTTTCTAACTCTTTAATTTATTTTTTATATTATTATATTCCTGTTTTGACAGCAATCTAGAAGATTAACTAAAAATTCTTGTTGTTAAGTTAATTAGTTAAAAAAAATAAAAAAATACTGTTCATCGGGATTACTGTTTACCCGAATCTTCATTATAATTACTTGTTGTATTAGTTAATTGTTTTAATTTGTTGCATCTAAATTAGTTTAAAAAAATTATTTCTTTGCTGCTTCTGTACTCAATTTTTGCATCTGTCATATATATAAAAAAAACAAAAACAAAAACAAAAAACAAAAAATCTTTAAGTGAACCGGTTCAAGTTTTCTTGGATTAGTTGGTGTCTAAGGAAAGGTTTAAGGGTTGCGTAAAGCGCTCTGCAAGAAACGAGGTACTTAATAGATCTTTGATCAACCTCTAGTACTATCCTTACCTGGCCAAACTACCCGAGTAAAACTTTTATCTTTTCACTTTCAGAGTTTTTGATTTAAAGCAGGTTTAATTAAGTTTCTGGTCTAATAATATTGACAAAATCCTTTTTTATATCAGATTACATCTACCTAGACTAGTAAACTTGAATTGGACTCATGGCAATTCCTGATCATTCAAAAAGTGTCAAACCTGAGAAGTTCACCGGTGTTAACTATAAACGGTGGGCTAATCAGATGAAATACTGGCTCACTACCTCAGGTCTTTTATCTGCTATTGACACTTCTGAGTCATCTACTAGTGGTTCTCAACCTTTTACTCCTGATCCTGCTCAACCTGCTCCTTCCACTTCTGGTTCTGGTGCTAGCTCCTTTTCTAGCTCTATGAAACCAGAAGAAATCAACTATCATTGTTGTCATAGGATCCTTAGTGCACTTGCGGACAACCTTTATGACATATATTATGAGTTCAAAAGTGCAAAAGACCTATGGAATGCTCTTGAAGCAGAATATGGCTATGATGATGCCAGAATTCTACGTTTCACCTCCTCCTCATTCAATAAGTTCATGATGGTTGATGACAAGCCCATTAATAAACAAATTCATGAATTTCTAGATTTCCTCCGTCATCTCCAATCAAAAGGAAACACTTTTACTGACGATTATAAAGTTTCCTGTTTGATTGATAAACTTCATCCCTCATAGTCTAGATTTGCTGGAGATCTCCGACACAAGCAAGGAGATCTAATCTTAACTGAAGCCCTCAAGGCTATTCGTATTGAAGATCAGCATAGGCAAAATTCCAATACCAAGAATGGAACAAAAGCTAAAGTAAACTTGGTAGAGGATAAGCCTAAATCTAAGAATTTCAAACCCAAAGGGAAGAAATTCAAGAAAAATCAACAATCTTTCAACAAATCTTTCAACAAATTCTCCTTCAATTCTCCCAGCCATAAGTCTGATGAGAAGTTCTGCTTTGTCTGTGGTAGAACCAACCACATGGCTCACAACTGTTTCTTTCGGAAGAAGGAACCGGCCAAACCTGCCCCTAAAGGAAATGGATCCAACAAAGTTAATATGATTGAAATGAATCCAACCTCCTTCAGGTTAGCCTCTTCATCTCATCTTGTAAATTCTCTAACTTCTTCCACTGATTGGTATTTGGATTCCGGAGCAAATATCCACGTCTGTAATGACCGCTCTTGGTTTTCAAATTATCAGGAATCACGTGGAGGAAGCATAAGCTTAGCAGATGACTCCACTAAATCAATAATAGGAAGTGGACGTATAGAGCTCACCATGACTTCTGGGAAAGTTCTTCATTTGCAAGGCGTTTATCATGTTCCTTCTCTCCGTCGCAATCTGATTAGTGAATCTCTTCTTCTTAGAGCTGGTTATAAGATTGTAAAAGAATCCAATAAATTTGTGATTACAAAGAGTAATGTTTTCATAGGAAAATGTTTTATCTGTAATGGCCTTTTCAAACTCAATGTAATCAATTCCAGTTCTAATAAAATTTCTGAGTCTTCTGTTATTCAAATTGTTGAGTCTTGTGATGTTTGGCATGGACGACTTGGACATGTCAATTTCCAAACCTTGCAGAGAATGAGTAAATTAAACCTCATTCCTAAATCTTCTCATGATCCCTCATCTAAATGTGAAATCTGTGTTCAAGGGAAACACACTAAAAAACCCTTCAAGTCTATAACTAGAAACTCTGAACCCCTCGAATTAATTCATAGTGATGTGTGTGACTCTAACCGAGTTCTCACCCGAGGGGGTAGGAGATATTTTGTGACTTTTATAGACGATCACTCCAGATATTGTTACACCTATCTTCTCAAAACTAAAGATGAAGTCTTAGATAGGTTTAAGGTGTTCAAAGCTGAATCTGAGAACCAACTTGACAGGAAGATCAAGATTCTAAGATCTGATCGTGGGGGGGAGTATACCTCAAATCATATGACTGAATATTGCCAAGAACACGGTATTATTCATGAGGTTACTGCTCCCTATACACCACAGTCTAACGGGGTAGCTGAACGAAAGAATAGAACCCTAATGGACATGGTGAACTGTATGTTACTCAGTTCAGGAGCACCTGAAAATCTCTGGGGTGAAGCTCTTCTTTCTGCTTGCTTCATTCTCAATAGGATTCCCCAGAAATATTCCGATACAACTCCTTATGAATATTGGAAGGGGAGATCTCCTAATCTAAATTTCTTCCGGGTTTGGGGTTGCTTGGCTAAAGTAGCTATTCCCGAACCTAAGAAGAGAAAAATTGGTTCTAAGACTGTAGATGCTGCTTTTATTGGATATGCACTTGATAGCAATGTTAACAGATTTTTAGTCATCAAATCTGAAATCAGTGACATATCCAACAATACCATCATTGAAGCAAGAGATGCAGTCTACTTTGAAAACATCTTTCCTTTCAAATCTAAAATCTCAGAAAATCCCAGATCATCCATTCCTTCTGATCTTCCATCTTCCAGTTCTTTTCAACCTCTTGATATTGAACCTCGAAGAAGCAAAAGAGGTAGAATCGAAAAGAATTTTGGAGAAGACTTCCTTACCTTTCTTGTTGAAGGTGATCCAAGCTCATTCCAAGAAGCAATGGATTCACCTGAATCTCCTTTCTGGAAAGAAGCCATTGATAATGAAATTAAATCTATCATGGAAAACCATACTTGGATACTCACCGACTTACCTCCAGGTTGTAAACCTATTGGTTGTAAGTGGATATTCAAGAAGAAACTCAGAGCTGATGGTTCCATAGATAAATTTAAAGCTAGATTAGTAGCTAAAGGCTTTACTCAACAAAAGGGCATTGATTATTTTGATACATATTCTCCTGTAGCCCGAATATCAACTATCCGAGTATTACTAGCCTTTGCTGCTATCCATAAGCTTATCATACATCAGATGGATGTCAAGACTGCTTTCCTGAATGGTGATTTAGATGAAGAAATCTATATGCACCAACCTGAAGGCCTCATTGCCAAGGGTCAGGAAAACAAAGTCTGTAAGCTTGTTAAATCTTTGTATGGTCTTAAACAAGCTCCTAAACAATGGCACCAGAAATTTGACAACGTCATTGCACAATATGGCTTCACTGTGAATGAATACGATAAATGTGTCTATTCTAAAGTGATAAACAATGACTATGTCATTCTCTGTCTCTATGTTGATGATATCCTTATCTTTGGAGTCAAGCTTATTGAAGATCAAGATCGGCTTGGGTAATCTAGTTTAGGTTTTATATTATGTGTGTTAGATACTCTAAGCTCAATATCATATACACACACGTATTTGGTTTCTAAGCTCAAATATTGTATTCTCAGTTTATAGACTTAACAATCATCATATACATATTTTATCAAGTCTATATAATCATTGTGCAAAGTTTCAAAACATTGTTTATGTCAAAACATCAAACTTCATGTATATCACTTTTTTCATGTTTTGAACACTTTTGCAAAATAATGAGATTTCACAATTGGGAAATGCAAATTGGAAAATTCTTTTTGTAACATGTTCAAAATATCATTTTCAAACATTTCTCAAAGTTTCATCAAGTTTGGAATTGATTTGTTATGTTTAAAGGAATTTACAAATTCACGTTTTCGTTCGTGCACATGTTCGTGCATGTTTTACAAAACTGATGAGTTTTTATAAATGGGAAGTGATATTCAAGAAATTCTAAATGGGAAGTGATATTCAAGAAATTCTTTCTTTGACATCTTTATCTACATGTTTAGAAACTTCTCTCAGTATGTCAGCAGTTTTTCAGAAACTGTAAATCTGTGTTCAAATATTTATTTCTCTCAATTGGGAAATT